ATAGAGCCTGCGATGTTAGGCCGATTGTGGCCTTTAGTCCTAAACATTCAGCATCTATCTCGATTCAGTGTTCCTACAAGTTTCTAGTACGGTTCAAATCACTTAAAGGGATCACAAACATATTTTTAGCCTAGTTTGACCCAGTTTTTTTAATCAAAAGCTGAATTTTTTCTCGATTTTGTCCATAATCTACACTATTCATCCTAAATTCAGGGTAATATGCTGAAGCTAAGAGGAATGAGGGGTACGGAGGCCCTCTTTACGTTTTTGGTTTCTATTTTACCTAATTTCTACAAGTGTCTACCAGTTTCACCCCAAAAAAGGTGTATCAACAGGGTTTAACAGTCCTAAGATAACATGAAATGGAGAAAATGAAGAACACGAAGAACAAAGGAAAAGGGAAATGACAAGATTCAAAAAACTTACCAAAAACAACGTAGAACCTCAATCCATGAGGGAAAAGCTCAACAACAAATGGCAAGTCCAACAAAGCCAAAAGAATGGCCTGGAACGTGAGGAACAGTGGCAGCAACAACGGTGGAAGCTCTGAGAAAACAAGGGTTTTGCTTGGGAAAGAAGATGAATAGTGAAGTGGTTATGAGAGTGTATATCGCCTGTTTATGGAGAGAAACCCAGAGGGCGGTAACCTTTCAAATTTTAGAATGATGATTATAGCTATGGGGCTGCACGGAGCCACTTAGAAAGCAACACATAACAATGACGTGATGGGCTGTCAACACGGCTGACTGATGGGTGATCAGACAATGGGCGCAAGTCTCAAGAACTGGTCAAAATTAGCAGCTCAGCTAGGAAAGGTAATCCTAATCAAGCTCGACTCGAATGGAATTAAGGAGTAATTGAGAGGGGAGATTATACCGAACAGTGGGCCAAGCTAAACCAACACGAAATATGGTGTTGGGCCGAGCTAGACCAACACGGAATATGGTGTTAGGCCCAGCTAAACCAACACAGAGTTTGGTGCTGGGATGAGCTATCTTAGCCCCAACACAGAACGTGATGTTGGCCAAGCTACATTAGCCTGGACTCTGGTTCTGGGCCGGGCTATCTTTGGGCATCACAGTTAGAGAAGTCGTGTGAGGACTACGGGATTGACTAAGTTAGACACGGCATAGAGCGGACACGGAGAACTGGCAGTGCACTATGACCCCACTATATGGCCGAGATAACGGTCTGCGCACCCATAGTTGACCGGCCTAAGAGAGTGCCACCAAAGTATTGACCAAGCGCGGCTCTGACTCAAAGGTCGGCATGGCTTAGCTCGGCATTGGGATATTCAGAGTCAACATCTTTGATGCAACCCAAGTAATAGCACGGTTAGGTATTCCACGTGGACCAATGGAGAGGAAACCGCTCTAGGTATGCATCAATACCGTTTGGTGGTTTGGCCAATACTATTTGGCAGTATTCACATATATGTATGTAAGGAATGGAGAGGGCAGTATAGCCACACGTCCAGCAAAGGACAACTGAGGTAGTGCATACACAATCTGGGACTGCATAGCCAACCTAGAAAATGAGGCATGAGCAGACCCAGAAGGGTAAGCAAATTTTAGCCATTCTCTCTCTCTACAGTGCTCTGCATTCTCTCTTCTCTTCCAAGAAAGCTAACTTGATCGTCGGATGGGTTTTCCGGCAAATCACGTGCCAAGTAGCTTACCCTTGTTTGTTTGTAATGAGACGTAGTTCCACCGAAGCAAGTCAAGCTTGGTAGCAAGGAGTACGGAAGACGACGAATATTTTCCACCCGTACACATATATAGACAAATATTCAACAGATCATATCTATAAACCTCCGACGACGGCAGTGAATGCGCAGAATGATCCCCTACACTCTTCTCTATCATCGTTTTTTCAGCCTCAAAGCCTTAGATTCGCTTTCAACGCAATCCTCGAACCTCCATCCTACGCCGATGCCATCTTCAGATCCTTCGACAAAGACCACACCAACAACAACGAGATCAATGAACACAATTGAACCGAAACCATAGGGAAGATCTGTGATCTCAGACTCGTCGCCTCCTCGCAGTCACGGTGGCCATAGCAATCACGAAAAGAGAGAGAGCGAAATAGAGAGAGAGAGAGAGAGAGAGGGAGGTTTGGGTTTGTGCTCCACTGTGTATAATATATGGACATGGGCATTTTGTTCATTTTGTTTAAACATGTCCTTATGAACAAAGTATTTTAGAGTATGGACTTTTGACCAAATAAAATTCAAAGTTAGATTTATAAATCGAGTGTACTTTTAATTGGTGTCATAGTTTTTTTCTTTAATAATTGGTCATAGTTTCGTTTCATTATTATTTAGAAAATAAAAAGAAATTCATTGTCAATAATTGCTATCTTCGTACTGTCAATAATAAAAACAAAAAGGGAAAATTACAACAAAAAAAATTAAGATTTAAACTTTGTAACAAAATAAATATTATATTTTTAATTTTATCAATTTAAATCTTAATTTTTTGATTTTTTTAATTTAAATCATCTGCCTATTTTCGTTAAGTAAAATTGTCAGAAAAAAAAATATATTTTAAATATTTTTATACTCTTACATTGAATTTAATGACTAAAATAATTAATTACATAAAATAATATTGGCCGTATATATTATCTGGTAACTCATCATCAAATATACAATTTTACTCATATTACTTCATTTATATTATGGGAAATTCTAATATACACACTCTTAAAAATAGTGTACTATATGCATCCCTAATTATGCCCTTTGCTTCTTTAGTTATGACCAATTTATTCTTTAGTTATGATATTATTTTAATTATCACTCATGAGATCTTTAGTTATGCCTCATGTTGTATTTAGTTATGACATTTTTTTTAAGTTATAACTCAAAAAATATAAAATTATATTATTTTCTTCTTTACTTATAAAATACATATGATACACACATTTTGAGATATGTACACCATGATGTTTCCCTTATATTATATCTGGTTGGTTGTGTAATTGATAGGCTTACTGAATTTTAATTGTACAACATAGACAAATACAAATTGTTTTGTGCACTCAAGTCAAAAGAACATTTATCAGTTCAAACGTATACTTATATGTCTATTCATTCAAATGTCACTTATCTACTCATTTATCTATCTAATATCACGTGTTTATTCACCTCATCGTCACTAGTCACTGGCCACCAACAACTTTTCTCGTGACTTTTCAACATGTATTCTTATCACTAAAAAAAATCAAACCATGAACCAAATAATAAATGAACTCATAAGTGTAAACTTGTCACTAATTAACTCAATTAATTTTCTTAAACCTCATTTTTATAATTTTTCTATTAAAAAAACCAAGCTTGCCATATACTCGGAAGCTAAAGTAAATATTAGATATAACCGTGATACCACGTGACGGTATCACCATCTAATGAACAATTTTGGTTTGTGATAGGGATCACTACAATGTTAAGTTAGTGGGAGACAAAACTTGTTGACTTAGTCCCTTTGCCAATTTTTATTGAGTCTGGATTTGCTAAAGATAAAAATACGAGCTTCACAGTGAAGTTGATCAATTATTGGACTAACTTAAACTCACTTCGGTGATATAAACTATTCCTGTTATATAACTAATTAAGACAATTATTCATTTAAAGATTTACGTTGATCCAATATCGATTATCATAATATTAGACTATTTTTATCTATACCACTTTATATAATTTTAAGAATCGGTTGTTCATATATATATATATATATATTGGTACATCAGAAATGAAAGACAAAACAAACAAAGGAAAATGACATATAACAAGAAGGCAAATCGAAGATTAAATTCTACGATAAGTCGTTCCAATCATGTCAACCATTAATTAGCTGACTTCTAATTTCAGCAGGAGGTTCCTCCATGATCACGAGTTGATCCGTTTGGTTTGAACACAGTTTGGCGAGTATGTTGGCGCACTTGTTGCCTTCTTGCATGATGCTGTGAATGGTGCAATTGCATCTCTGAATAAAATGCCTTGAGTCTTCCACAATACTGCGAAATGAGCAGTTCTAGAATGACCCCTCAGTTAGCAAATTTTCAGCCAAGGATGCAATGCTTTCTCTGGCACAATCATCAATCCTATGTGTTATAATATATATATATATATATATACCTAAAAAAAAAAAGTCAAAAATTATTTAAATATGACTGTTTTAATCAGATTAAGGGCTGGTTTGGCATAGACTATATAATCCATCTTTTTATCTTTTTATCTTTTTTCCATCACATCACTTCTCTACTTTTTTGCACATCTTTTCGTAAAAAGACAAAAAGTGCACTTTTTTAAGACACCCCAAACCAACCCTAAATAACTAAAAAAATTAAAAAATCATAATAAATTAATTCATACCAAACGATAGTTATGTAATCATTATGCTCAGGTTAAGTTTGGCAACTCAAAAATAATTCATCTTTTTATTTTTTTGTCTTTTTTTCATCACATCACCTCTCTACTTTTATACACATTTTTTCATAAAAAGACAAAAAATAAGAGTTGTTTAGGATGATCTAAATAAGTCCACTTTTTATCTTTTTACGAAAAAATATATAGAAAAATAAAAAGGTGATGTGATGAAAAAAAAATAAAAAAATAAAAAGATAGATTATTTTTAAGTTGCCAATCTTAACCTTATTTAGCCTCCATTTGGAAAGTGGGTTGACTTTTTGGCTTTTTGGCTTTTTTGGCTATTTTAGCCTGGACTAAAAAGCTTAGTTTGGGAAGGGTTTTTTAACTTTTTGACTTTTTTGACTTTTTTTGTGAGAGAAGAGTGTAATAATTATGGGTTGGATGTGATGTTTTATTTTTTATGACTAAAATAGCCTATTTTATCTTTTATGCCTAAAATAACCAAAAAAATCCGGAAAAACCCTTCCCAAACGGACCCTTAGTTCATTCCAAACAACTCCTCAATATCATTTTCTCCGAGGGAGGACCTTAATCAGCCTCGGCGCATCTTAAGGTTATCACAAACCCACAAATAATAACGTGCGCCGGACGACCTTCGTCCTGAACGGTTGGACATATATCGTCTCACTCACATTCCATCTTCTCTCTCTGTCTCATCTTCCCTGCTAAGAAGCAGTCGCTGGTCATCAATCTTCACGCTCCAAACCAACCCACCTTAAAACCCTAAAACCATCTCCATTCAAGAACACAATAAACTTATATACCAAAAACCTAACTCACTGATCGCCACATCAAACTCACTGGGTTCTCACAATGTCACTCACACCCCAAACCCTCCTAGGAATTTCCAACTCTCGCATTTCTTTCTACTTCACAAACACCACTATCACTTCTCTCCAAACCCCCAATTTTTCTCTCTCGTTTTCCTCCAAACACTTCTCAAATCTTCCACGTTTTCGGATTCTAACTACCAAACCACCAAACCCCAGCAATTTTAAATCTTTCAATACCCATCATTGGCCTCTCAGAGCTTTCGAATTGAACGGAACTGTACAGAAATCAGACAGTGCTGATAGTGTCAATTTCGATGCTTTTCTTTCAGTTGTTGAATTTCTGTGTCTTGCTTCTTCTGTTGTGATTTCGATTGGGTTTGCTTTAAATTCTGCAATTTCGAGCTCGCAGAAGCCAATTATTGCGTGGTTGGGGAATAGGGTTTTTGTGTGGCAGTCTGTTCTGTTGGTGGCTGCACTGGTCATTGGTTCTTTAATTCGGAGACGGCAGTGGAGGAGATTATGTGCGGATGTTTCGAGGTCCGGGGTTCCGGGCATTAATTTGATCGAGAGGATTGAGAAATTGGAGGAGGATCTTCGGAGCTCGACGACTATTATTAGGGTTTTGTCCAGGCAGCTTGAGAAATTAGGGATTCGTTTTAGGGTTACAAGGAAGAATTTGAAAGAGCCCCTTGCTGAGGTAAACCTGTCTTTTTAGTGTATGTAAAATGTAAATAAAATATTCTTACCTTTCACCTAGTTTCACACATATTTTCCTTTTCTCTTTTGAAATCCTAAATCAAACACTGTATAAATGAATGAAAAATATACTGTTCCATTCGGGATTGGAATTGTGATTGCTTTGCACAGTTATTTGTGAAATTGCTATCTTTTGTCCATTATGCCATGTAACATCCTAGTCCTCTGAATGGAATTTCCCCAACTCATTACCACTGGGGTTAACTGATCATTGAAGAGATATTGCAGCCCTTCCAATGATAATTGTACCAGATTCTATTGAGGATTTGTAAGAATCTTAGATTAAGCAAGAAAAATGAACTTGTAAATTATGTTTTTATTAGATTATTGATTTTTGGAATTAGTTGGCACAGATAGTTGTTTAGGGGTTCTGATATAATACACCTAGGATGATCATGGGTGTGCTTTTCAAACCAAGGGGGTACCTAGACATAGTGTCAGAATGCACTATAAGTTGATGTTATACTCAAGGTCCAAGGATACTAGCAAATATATTTGACGTTAGTGTATCAGGTCTGCTGGTGAAGCCACTAGCAAGCATGGATACTCAATTAGGTTGAAGTACCGAAGTAATTGTATCCAATATGTACAATATACCTATTTTGGTAGGATACATGTGTATAAGTTTCCTTAATATTTTTCTTGTAAGTATCCTCAATATTATGTAATTAATAATATGATTTTAATTTTTGGATAAGTTTTCAATATATGGCATATGATGGGGATACATTGTAGGTATATGTAGGCAAGGATGGACCTAGCAGGTGACAACTAAGGCCTATCATCATCCCTACGATGTCAAAAAAATTCATAATAAGAAGGAACTATGATAGCAAAGTGGAAATTCATACTCTTTGGAGCTTGAGGTGTTGGATTCAAGTCACTTTAGCATCAACTTTTTATCTATTAAAAAAGAAAAGAAAAAAAAATTGCGTAATAGGCACCGTGGGCAACAGAGGAGGTACACATGTCAAATGGTGTTGAGCCATATGGCATATGTGGAAAAAGCCATATGGACATCTTCAAGAGAAGCCATGTAAAACTGTTTTGTTGGTGGCTTTTTGGGGTTGGACTATTGGTGAGATGCAGAGGTCTTAAATAACTATGCATAGATTCCTTTGTCGGTCACAGGTGGCTATAGGACCTAGCTCCTATGGATGGTTTTTGGGGAAGTAAAGGCTTTTAGCATGCCTTGTGAGTAAAGTTATTGACAATGATATTTTTGAATGCAACATTGAGATGAATTAAAGGAAGAAGTAGAGAATTCAAAACATTATCAATGAGATTATTAGAATTCTTATTAACAACTGGGTAAGTCTAAGTAGAGCATATTTCTAGAGAGGAAAATAGATCTGCTTAATGATTTGGAAAGACGGGCTAGTCTCTTGAATTGTTGTATATATGGAAGGAGGATTTCCCTATTGCTACATGGAATTGATAGATGAGGATGTTAGGGAGGGGTCTTATTTTCCTAAGATGGTGTTGTTCTTTAGGGTTTGTTGTATTTTCTTCCCTGGCAAAAAATTAATAATTAAGTAAAAAAATATTGGGAGCGATGGTTAAATGCTAAGAAAATAGAAATAAGGATGGAATTTTTGGGACTCCCATCAATTCAAAAGGTATAATTGACTATAATGTTTCTTAGTTATAGCTAGGTGGCTTAAAAATCTAACTTTTGTTTTCCATGGTTTTGCCGTCATAATGAAATTAGAGTAATGGTGAAGGTACTTCAATCATGGTTGTTAGAATCTATGATTCATGATTCGATATGAGTTTCAACGAAAACGAGTTGAATTGTACTGTTGAATAGAAAGTTGAGTGAATCAGGTGATTCAATTTGTGATTCATTGCAATTCGGTTTTGTTTTTGTTTTTGTTTGCATAATGCATGGAACTACGTCGTTTCCGTCTCTGTTAAGAAATATATATATATATATAAAGAGAAGAAAAAAGATCAATATATTTGTAAACACTATGTTTACATTTTTATATCTATATGCATATATAACTTTACATATTATATTAAATAAAGTGAATCTTGTGATTCAAGATTTGATATTTTAGTAAAACAATTCACAATTGATTCTTGATTTGTCAACACTGACTTCGATATATTTGTAAGATCAGAGATACAAGATGGGATGAATAGTTGAGCCATCGAGATTTGTTTGTTCATTACATTGCTTTTTTAAGGACAGATGTTTTGACTGATGTGAGTGGAAGGTGTAGAAAAAACAAAACTAGAAATGAGAGTCTATAACTGGTGTTTGTTTGCTAACTTATGTCTATGTTTCATCAATGGCCTAGCCAAAAGAACAAAAGAAAAAAGGATACACTACTATCACTGTAGGTAGTTGGCATTGTCATTTGTAGACATATATTAGTGAAAATAAAAAATGTTTGTGGACTAACATAGGTGTAGTTTTATTAGGTGATCATATAGAAAAGTACTAATTAAGATGGCTTTGATGTTATGTATAAGACTAATTACATGTCTATGAGATGATGTGACTTGTGACTTGGAGTTGCTTCTTTGAAAGATGATATGAATAGAATTCTAAGTCATTTAGGTATCATTTGATAACTTTGTTTCATGTTTTCTATTTTTACAAAAAAAAGGGAACAAAAGTTTTTTTTTTTTTTTTTTTTTGAGTAAAAAACTCATTTGGTGTACTCAAAATGTTTTGAAAACAAATGAGAACAAAATAAAGAAGCACGTTTAGTGAGTTGCCAGAGATCACAGGTGGTAACCATTTGATTCCTGGAGGTTGTCGAGGGAGAGAGGGAGGGAGTGAAAACTTGTTTTGAAAATAAAATAAGTGAAAATACCTTTTTTTGTTTCCAAAAACTTTGAAAATTTTGAAATAAATTCCATTTTTTTAAAAACAAAAAGCAATAGGGTAAATTACACCTCCCATGGCGTTTGGAGAAAATACAGTTAGCCCCATGCATTTGATACAATTACACTAACCTCTCTTTTAGTATGGTTAAAGCGATCAAAGTTAATGCCAATAGTGGGTAGACACATAAACAGAGATAAACATACATTTTAGTGGGAAAGTGATGATTGTATCATTTTTCATTCATACGACTAATGAATTATAGATGAAAAAGGACCTAAGTATTATGTGAATTAAAACTTTGAGGGATGTTAGTGTAACTATGCCAAAAGTGTAGGGCTAATGGTATTTTCTCCAAACTTGAAGGAAGGTGAATGTAATTTACCCGAAACAATAATATACCTTTGTTTCCAATGTCCAAAACAAAAAATGAAAATGAAAACCAAAAACCAAAAATAAATAAATAAATAAATGTTACCAAATGAGGCTTTAAGCTCCAATGTTGAAAGACCCGAATCTTTAACAGGTTGAGGAAGTGGAGTCGACTTTATGTTGCTTATCCAAAAATAATTGGGGTGAGGCAATGTAGATAATGATTTAAGCACCACTTTTATGAAGAAGCTCTGTTTAGTTATCCATATTTGCAACATTCACTTGTTTCTTTGACGTCTGATTTTGTGTTTATGTCTGAAGGCTGCAGCTTTGGCTCAAAAGAACTCTGAAGCCACTCGAGCATTAGCAGTGCAAGAAGACAATCTGGAGAAGGAGCTTTCTGAAATTCAGAAGGTGCTGCTTGCAATGCAGGTAGATGTGAGATCATAATTTTTGTCATCTAAGAGTTTTGAATTCCAGGAAGGGTATGTATTTTTTTTTCTTTCCAAATCTTTAGTTGCTAGGAATTTTTTTAAAGGTTCACAATGAAATCCTCAGTGCAACAAAAATAACTATCTCTGCACCTACTTGAGATGGCTTACAGAGAAGCTTTAAGGCATAAATCTCATACGCCTCGTGAGATGTGCAAAGTCCAATTTTACTAAAATCAAGCACCAATTAATTCAAATTTGGAAATGAATTGTATTGAGAACATGCTATTTTTTCCCCCAAGACTTTAAATATTGATGATGCATCCCATTATTTGAGTGTTTTTAGAGATTGCCTTGCAAATCAAAGGGAAAGAATGTAATGACGCAGGGTTAGGGTTCATGCCTGTCATTCAATTTTTTGTTGACAAAAGGTGTTGTTCACAAAACACCATCTCACTATGCTAAGATTTTTGTAAGAACAATTCTAAATGGGATGGTAACCTTGAGTTTGAAAGATGGAGAGTTGTTGGAGCAAATACTGTTGCATATATTATCTGTTATAGGTAATTGTTCAGCAGCTCAATTTCAGTATTCTGTTTTACAACATCACCGCACTTCTGCAATTTGTGACTTTGAGATTGACATTTTGGTTTTTTTTATTTTTTATTATTATTATTTTCTGGTGACTATCACTCCCTCTAGCTTTGGTAGAAACAGGAGGAATCATCTGTGACAATAGGAACAGGCTAAGCACAGCCTATCAAGCGAGCACATCAGTGCATTGGTTAGACTCTTTAGGAACAGGAGAGAGTTTTGAAAGTTATGTCCTGCCATCCAGGTTAAGTTTGGAAGTTATAGACAGCAATGATAGCCTCTGTCGTCGTATTTCCTTAATTTGCCCGACTTCTTATTCTTCTTATTTACTGTAGATAGTGAAAAAGAGCTAGCTTCAGCCTATTTTATACCCTCTGAAAGCTTAGCAATTTTTAGTCTCATCGGTTGCTATTCTGTTTCTTCTATTTGCTCTCTCTCTCTCTCTCATTATGAATTCCCACACCCTGGTTCTATTTATATGCACTGATCTGAATTAGCATCTGCAGTGCTTACAGTCCATTGGGCATATTGCATTGCATCATTTAGGTTATGCCTAGATGTGAGCTAAGAAAAAAGTATTTCAATGATTATTTTTCAGGTATCTTTTATAGGTTTTGTAGATGGATTAGTTGATGTTTCTCAGAAACACACTCATTTTCAGCCAAAAGTTGGACAAGGGTATGGGTTCATGCACACACACAAAACAATCAGAGTGTGATTTGGCGTCATCCTCTCCTATCTTGTATTATTTTTATTTTTTTTCTCTTTGGTGGTTTGGTGTGCTTGTGCACATGCATGTGTGTACACTTTTGGCATCAAGGATATGAGTCTTGCATGTGTACCAAGCAATAGAAGCTCGATTTATTGTTTTTTTTTTTTGGGATGTATACGTGCACCATAGTAAACTTTCTCAGGCTTCAATTAGGGATGCCTAGACCAGACGACCATGTTTTCTCAAGCAAAACTTGAGCAAATAAAAGTTTGTCCTCCATATGCACTTAACACAATTGTTTCTAGAATCTCACCCTATTGTCAAGTTCTGCCTGTGCCAAATACTATCTGTATTATATCGTTGTTTGGAGGTTGGCCTGAAATATTACCAGATATTGTCCAAAAGTTTAGTAGTGCGGATCATGTATATCATATCTTTCAGACTCATGGATTGGTTTTTAGACATTGAAGAACTGGATGCATGCTAAAATGCTATTATCAATTTGACTTGTTATTTCTTAATTGGAGTTTTTTGTGTAGGAACAGCAGCAAAAACAACTTGAACTCATTCTGGCAATTGGAAAGACTGGAAAGGTGTGGGACACCAAGCGGCGACCCAGTCAAGATCAGGAAGCAATTGAGAAATCCAAGGGAACAAAACAGATGGCAACCCCCAAAATCCAAGCTCTGACTGTAAAGAAGGAATCTGAGAACGACAGAGCCTAGGGTTTTGAAGTAGCAAATGCAGATGGATTTGCTGAATCCTGTTTTTGGTGCTGAAAGCTGAATAATTTGATCCTGTTTTATTCAAGGCGAGGCGGTTGGGCTCTGCTGATTGGCTTTTTGGCCCATATTGTGGGAACCGGAGGGTTGGAATGGAAGAACAGGGAGGATTGCAATAGATGGCGACCTTTTTCCCCTTTTAAATTTGTTTTTGGCTGGTTGTGTAAGGTCGCCAAAATCAAAAGGGACCTTTGTTAATTAGAGCCCCGTTTGGTAAAAAAAATTATTTTCAGCCTTCTCAGCTTAAGCTTCAGCTTTGATTGTTGTACTTTGGCGAAGTCTTCTGTTTGGTAAAACAATCTCAGATTTTTCAGCTTAAACTCAAAAGCAGTTGTTTTATTTATTTTTATTTTTTTATGGTTTGGGAAAAACTAATTTAAGTTTTATTAATGTTTAGTTTTTAAAAAATGTTTTTGAGTTTTTTTTTTCATATATTTTGTATTTAGTTTTTTTTAATATTTTTTTTTTTGCAAATATTTTACTTTAGTGCATCTAGATTTGTCAAATTGAAAAAGTACAAAAAAAAAAAGATTAAAATATAAAAAAACGTTCACAAAAGATTAAAAAAAATATTACAAAAAATAAAAAACTCAAATATAGAGAATCAATTTTTCATCTATACTAATAAACTACTAATAAAAATGAGGGTAAGTATTATTTATATTACAACTTATCATGTTAAATTTATAAATTTTAGTGATTTTTTTATTTTAAGATTCCTAATATTAAAATTTTATAAAATAAAAGACATACAATATATAGTGATTCCGGTATTTCCTTTACTGTTTTGTTGCATTCCGGACTCGGTTCTGTGGATTTAGTAGTTGTGTCTACCTTGTTGTCGTCCTTTAATTCCATTTGATTGAGTTTTAGGATGTGTTGGGCATGTTTCGAGCAGGTAGGTTGAGCCTTGGTCTAATTTTTTGTTGCCAGGTTTTTGGTCTTTCCGCTCGAGCAGGTCGTCTAGTGCTCGAGCGGAGATTGCACACTCCCAGTATTTTCGTTGTCTGCAAAACTCCTACAGGTGTGATTTCTACGCTCGAGCGGATTTCCTGCGCTCGAGCGGGTCGCGCTCGAGCGGGCTTGTTGGCGCTCGAGCGGGTAGTACATTTTTTGTGTAAGTTCTGGGAGGGGGAAATCTACGCTCGAGCGGACTGGTTTTCGCGCTCGAGCGGATGTACTTTATTCTTGTGTCTTAGAGCTCGAGTGGGACTTCTTGCGCTCGAGCGAATTCAGCATTTTGTTCTTGGCGCTCGAGCGTTGTGTTTTCCGCTCGAGCGGACCTGTCGTATATCAGAAGGCAGTTGGGCATTTTTAAGTCACTTTTACATCCTCACTCTCTCTCTTACTTTTCCAAAAACTCCATTGTAGAGCCTCCCTTTCTAGAACATTGCCTTCTCTCTAGGTATTAATCTAGTAAGAGTTGTCTCCTCACCTTTGGCCTTTACAAAAAAGTTGTTGATCGTCGAGGGCTATCTTTTGATCTAAGAATCTCGGGATTTGGAGCATTTCCGTTTTCTTCATCTTCTTCGTTGGGTGTCATCATTTGAGGTAGGGATTCCTACTCACTACTCTCACTACTATGGGTTTTAACCTAGATTTTTGGGCATTTTGTTAAATGGTTGATTTTGGAAAGTTAGGGTTTGAAAATGTTGAAAGGGGTGTAGACACCCCATTTTTGACCGACCTTAAGACTCAGACGTCACCGATTGAGCGCTTGGTGATGTTGCATATCGTGCTCGTTCAGAGGTTTCGGAGTCTTGGCCGCGAGCTTTGCCTCCGGACTTCCGGACTCTTTCATGCTGTGCCTCGGTTTGCGAACCAGGCTTTGTTTTCTCTGTTTCTTTACCGAATGGAGGGAGAGGTCTCGTAGATCATCTCTCAGTGGCCGTAGGCTACGTTTTGTGGTCGTAAGCCATTTTGCCCGTTTGGAGTCCGGTTTCCGGTTTTTCGGAGCCGTTGGCCGTGTGCCTCGGTTCGGGACCGCTTAACCACCTCCAAAGGACTTAGGGTAGAAACAAACTAAAACTAGATGAAACCCTAGAGAGAAGGTGTGTAGAGAGAGAGGGAGCTTGGATCTAGGGTTTACAAAACAAAAGGGATGAAAAAGTGAAGTGTTTACCCGCTGTTGCCTACTGATATAACACAGGCTCGCTCGAGCGAAGGATTGGTCGCTCAAGCGACTAGACACAAAGAACTCTCGCTTGAGCGTAGAAAGCCTCGCTCGAGCCAAGAATACGAAGCTTCAGGTCTGCAACCCAGAAGCACGCTCGAGCGACAGAATGCTCACTTGAGCGAAGAAACCCAAAACATAGTCCTCGCTCGCTCGAATGAAGGAAAGCTCGCTCGAGTGAAGAATTGCAACCTTCAGGTCCAGAACCATACGCAGATGCAAGCTAGAGCGAAGTACTTCTCGCTCGAGCCACCAGACACAAAACTAAACTCTCGCTCGAGCGAAGGAACCCAGGCTCGAGCGAAGGATCTAAAACAATGATCTCACTCGAGCGAAGGACCAAAATTCTGGGCAGCAACCATTTGCTCCCAATCACACGGAACCTGTAACAAACCTACCCAACACATCCTATAACTCAAATACAAAGTATTGAAGGACGGAAACAAGATATAAACAACAATCAACACGACGGAACCTAAGTCCGGAATACTGTACATAAAGGGGAAAAAACCCGGGATCGCTATAGAGTGGCTTTTATCGTGAAAGGTAAGTTCATTTTTTCCATAATCTTGGCTTTTACCCCGAAAGGTAGGTTCATTTTTTCTATATAAAGTTCGGGTATTAATGTGGAAAGTTTTGACATTTCCATTTCAACTTCATTTCCTTAACTAGGAACTCTCCATAGAAAAGCAAGCAATTGATAGAGCCTAATCTTTAGAGCTGTAACAACCCGAAAATTTAAGTTGTCCCTTAAATTTTATACTAGTATTATGGTTGTATGTGATGATATATTATTAAATAAGTAATAATATAGCGATTCTGGTATTCCCTTTACTGTTCTGTTGCATTCCGGACTCGGTTCCGTGGAGTTGGTAGTTGTGTCTACCTTGTTGTCGTCCTTTAATTCCATTTGATTGAGTTTTAGGATGTGTTGGGCATGTTTCGAGCAGGTAGGTTGAGCCTTGGTCTAATTTTTTGTTGCCAGGTTTTTGGTCTTTCCGCTCGAGCGGGTCATCTAGTGCTCGAGCGGAGATTGCACACTCCCAGTATTTTCGTTGTCTGCAAAAGTCCTGCAGATGTGATTTTTACGCTCGAGCGGGTCGCGCTCGAGCGGGCTTGTTGGCGCTCGAGCGGGTAGTACATTTTTTGTGTAAGTTCTGGGAGGGGGAAATCTACGCTCGAGCGGACTGGTTTTCGCGCTCGAGCGGATGTACTTTATGCTTGTGTCTTAGAGCTCGAGTGGGACTTCTTGCGCTCGAGCGAATTCAGCATTTTGTTCTTGGCGCTCGAGCGTTGTGTTTTCCGCTCGAGCGGACCTGTCGTATATCATAAGGCAGTTGGGCATTTTTAAGTCACTTTTACATCCTCACTCTCTCTCTTACTTTTCCAAAAACTCCATTGTAGAGCCTCCCTCTCTAGAACCTTGCCTTCTCTCTAGGTATTGATCTAGTAAGAGTTGTCTCCTCACCTTTGGTCTTTACAAAAAAGTTGTTGATCGTCGAGGGCTATCTTTTGATCCAAGAATCTCGGGATTTGGAGCATTTCCGTTTTCTTCATCTTCTTCGTTGGGTGTCATCATTTGAGGTAGGGATTCCTACTCACTACTATGGGTTTTAACCTAGGTTTTTGGGCATTTTGTTAAATGGTTGATTTTGGAAAGTTAAGGTTTGAAAATGTTGAAAGGGGGTTTTGTTATTTTGATTCTAAAATGTGTATTTTGGGTTTCACAATAACGAAATTGTTGTTGGTTGTTGATATATAGGATCAATATTGGGTAATAGGGTAGAAAACCCTAATCGGTTGTATAAATTAATTGGTATAATTAATTTGGGAAAATTGTGGCTATATAGGATTGAGTTGGAAATAATGAAATTGGCTCATTATATAGTAGAATGGTGGAGTTGGATTTATTAATCGCTCACTTTTGAAAACATTGATATTTTATCTATTGGAACTTTTATTATCCGTTTAGAAATAATTGTTTGGGCTACCAGTGGAGGGTAGTTTTGATTATTGTAGACAATGCATGATGATTAGGCAAACTAAAACTAATCAATTAGATATGTCATAGAGTATGACGGTTAATAGAATACACTAATGTTATGTATTGATTGATTATGTATATGACCTAAGTGTATATACGTTGTGTGTATGAGAGGAGATAGGGGATGTACTCCACGGTTTAGGGGATGGACCTCTAAACCGAATTTTGTTTGAGAGGAGATAGGGGATGGACTCCGCTGATACGGCTCATATGCTTGTCAGTTAATGTGTTGATATAGCTCATATGCTTATCTATGGAAGTGTTGATATAGCTCATATGCTTATCCGTTGAAATGTTGATACAGCTTGTATGCTTATCTGTTGAGATGATGATGTAGCTTATATGTTTATCGGATGAAATGTTGATATAGCTGGTATGCTTATCTAATGTGGAATGGGAGAAGTTTATTATAAGTCTCTATCTCATGTAAATGGTTGGCCAGGTTCTGAGCCGTTAATGTAAATTGTGAAATTAATAAGGAATGGAAAATGAAATGAAACATGAACATAGTGGTCATGTATGGTAATGGATTAAGAATTGGTTTATGGGAATTAAACATTTATCAATTGCTAATGTCTTAGTTACTGCTCATATTGTGTTTAGCATATCTCTACTGGGCGTTGGCTCACCCTATATGGGACATTATTTTTCAGGTACAGGTAGCATGCCACCTCCAAGGACATAACTTGGGTGATGATGAGAGTTAAAGACTCTTTTGTTTATTTTGATTGTATTACATGTATATCAAGCCAAGGGCTTATTTGTATAGAGTTAATACTCTTCTTTTGTGTAACCAAGTGTTGACTTGGAAAGCTGTAAGCCCATAGGGAATTTGCTTTTGTTGTTAACATGTAATATTGTTGTAAGAACTACTCTGATGAATAGAAATGGTTGGTTTCTTTTATATCAATGCATGTTTAAAGTGATGGGTTTTATGTATTTTTTTGAGGGCGTTACACAATATTTTTATAGTAGTTGGGGTCTTTCAACTTTTTCATTGAGAAAATTCGACACAGAGAAATTTATGTCCGACTCGGAGAAATTTCGGTCACAACACAGAGAAATTTCATCAAAAGACCTTAGTTAATAGAAAAAATAAAATAAAATATTTTGGACCATTCTTACA